CCCAGCTCCCGCCCTCCCGTCCCGTCCCGTCCCTGCCCCTTCCCTTCGGTTTTCCGGCCGCTATTTTCTCAAGGCAGCGGCCGGGCTGGAGTCCAGCCGCATTTCCCTGCTGGCGGCGGAAAAGTGCACAAGTCTTGTAACAAGCGATTATTAGCAAATTCACAGTAACTGCAATTGGCCAAAGTCAACACGAAAGAACTGCTGCATAATCTAGTAAAGACACGTTCAGGTTGAAAAAAACCCAACCCTAAAGTGCATGACTGGGAATTAATTGCCTGGCTCACAGCGGATTTTGCCTAAGCTGCCTCCTTCCTTCCATAAGTAACTTCGGGAACAGAACTCTCTCCAGCCAGCTCGTCCAGGCATCATGTAGGAGTTATTCTAAAAGCAAGGCTGCATCTTCCAGCAGAACTTTTTTTTTTTTTTTTAATGTCATAATTAAAACCGACTTCCCCAGAACTTGGAAATTATATCTAAGGAGAGCAGGGAGCAAAGATTTATGCTTCCGAGATTTCTGATCACAGTAAAACGATCACTCGTTGTACCTCTAGCAGAGCTTTCTGTTTCCAGATTACCGTCATGTAAGTGACATTTTGTCATTTCCGATTCTGAAAGCAAAGGGGAATGTTCTTATTACCCTGGCGCAAAGCTCCACACACCTGGAGAGAATCGAAGTCGCTAAAAATCACACCCGTGCTGTTCTTGGCAGAGTAGAAAGACACACGATGTCCAGACCCAAACTATTTTTGCCCTGAATACGCTTGGGCTGCCGTCGCATTTCCGAGTGCTCACCGCAGAAAATCCTCATTTATCCTAAAGTTCCCTATATACACATAAATCCACGGAGCTCGGTCTATCGTCTCTCTCTCTCTCTCCTCCGTGTATACATTCTACAGGCATACCTTATGCGTATCCACGCAGTCGTACAGTGCATGCAAACTTCTACATACATACGGCTAGCTACAGCGGCATATACAAACCCGCTGCGCTGTGTATGTCTGCCTAGCTGTCTGCGGAGGGCTGTGCTGTAGGTCCCTCTCGGTAGCGGCACCGATTACATGGATCCGCGGCTGTATGTACACCGGGATGCCCGGGGTTCCGACCACCCCGAGACCAGGAGCAGCGCCGACCCCGCTCCCTCCGTCTGAAGAGAGCACCTCCAGCGCCCTGGGGGCCCCGTTCGGCAAGTGAGTGTGGGGTCTGGGGTGAGGGCACCCCCCTAAAAACAGCGGG